CAACACCAGAAAGACATAGGAGTCTTAGAGGAAAGGAATATTGATGCAGGAAATGAAAGCAAAGAGCGAGAGGGGATCAATTCATCTAATGAATTAGAGATGAGAGACTCATTTGAAATAATCTGGAGAACAAGGGGTGCAGTTCAGGGGAGATGGGGTTGAGTTAGTAACACTTTGATAATTATCTTCATGTTTGATTCATTTCTGTAACATAAACAAAAATACTACGTATCTTATTCCAAAAATAATGTCTCCTATTGATTTCCCACAGAAACTGTAACAGATACAAAGAGCACAATAACACAAAAGCCTGCAGGCGACACTCAAAAATCCTCATCAGCAGAGTGACCCACTGTGTTGAAACTGCCTTACTGTGCTCACATCCACTGTTTGATCTCCATAAATGTTCAGCAAGTGTCATTGAATGTCAGTGACTGCAGTGCTTTCTGCATGTAGGAGTTCTATTCTTTGCTTCATATGCACTTCCATGTCAAATGCCATTCTGTCATAGTGTCTCACCGCTGCCATCTGTCACATGGCAACAATACGTAATGGAATATTGGCAGGAATATTCAAGCTCTACTGTCACAGCACCAAAAGCTGCTTCTTAGGTAAGGAACCAACATAATAAAATAGGAGGCATTACTTTTGCCAAAGCTGTACAAATCAAACCCAAAACAGCAAAAAAAACCAACAAGAATAACAACAACAACAAAAAAAACCACTAAGGTGATTCATAGTTTCTAGTTGTTGTTCAGTGAAGGCAGAAAGACAGGAACAGGCTGGAAAAAGAGGGACAAGAGCTCACCGAGCTTCCAGCCTATGACTGAGAGTCACCAAAATCTAATTTGTACCCGTTCATAGCTCATAATGACTAGGTGACTATTTCTCTGTTTTGAAAACAAAAAGAAACAATACATTAACAAATGGTCTATTCAAAGAAGAGCAAGTAAATGCTTAAAATACTGAAATATCCATTTAAAGAAGAAAGGTTAAAGGGTGCTGCTTCATAAGCAGCCCTATGAAGTAAAAGTCTAATTCACTGTCATCTTTGCTGACGAGGACAAGACCTTACTCTATAGCCAAGTGTGTTAAGTCACGCTCTGAAAGATAAACGGCCTTAAATAAGATGGAATATCATGGTGACTGTCATACTGATTATTCCAAACATCTGCACTATTACTTTGATAACTGCCCAGATGTTAAATATCTCTCTTAATAAAGTTGTGGACACAAATATCATGAGCTGCCAGAGTCATGACCAGCAGTAACTACAAAGATTGGGGTCAGAGAGCCTTTAGAGCTGTGAGATAAATGGATAAAATATTAGAACAGACCTAACTGAGCATCAACTCATACCTTACCAGACCTATAACAGTGATAACACTGCTAAGGATTGTTAGTTTTTACTACTTGTGTTAGCACTTCCATTTCTTACTCAGACAATTAGCATTACTATTAATTACAGAAATCAGAACACTTTAAAATAATGAATGTTGAAGAAAATTCTTAGCTCCCTCACAGCAGAAAGGAAACTAAGTATTTTTTTTTTTCTTATGTTTAATGACAATTAGTAAAGCATGGTTGAGACTCAACATGGAGTTCAAATGCAATTAAGCACTGCTATAATAACTACTACAGTTAGTATTTACAATGTGGTTATGACTAATAACCAATGAGACTGTTGCTCATTATAAGAGATAAAGTTTAATTAGATAATTTAAGATATCTTATGGACTACATGGCTGTCTTCTTAAAAGTGCCTGCCACTATACTTTAGAATACTTTTTAAAATAATGAAATGCTATTATAAAAAGGCATGATATAATGAGTAGGAGAAAGGAACAGGCTGTAAAAAGTGGAAGACTGCTTTTCTAAGCTGACATGCCAGGAACACCTCCTCCTTCACTGATTTGCAAAATGAAAAGCAACATTATTTTTAATTACAGATCATAAGTACAGATATACATAGTCATAATTAAAAGCCTCTCGCATTTGAGCAAGCTGCACTATTGACGCTATAGTGTAGAATAACAATCAAGTTAAGGTACGACAAATGCCATTCTTCTCTGTTGCGTTTCAGATTTTTAACTCTGAAATATTTCAGCTGTGCCATTACTTCCTTTTTCTCCCTGAATACGACTCCAGTTCTTCAATAAATATGACAGAGAAGCAGAAGGATAAACTTCTGCTCAAAGGAAGATATTTCCCCACCAAAAAGTTTAAGTACAAAATCACCACCAACAAAAAGATTTTCTTTTGTGATAGGATAAACTTTTCCCACAATATAGGATAAGATCTTGCTCTTAAAAATAATAATAATAATAATAATTTTAACCATGAAAAACAGCAGAGAACTGAAAGACAAATTTTGACATAAAAATAACCCTGACTGAAAAGAAATACCTTTGAGCGTTTCATCAAAAACTGGTTTATAAAAGCTTTTCTAAAGTGCACTGTCTGTATGCATGTCTGAACAGGATTTTTCTATAAGCTTTGAAAGAGCATAGCTATGGAAGGCTCTGAATGCCATGTGTCTCCATCTCAACAGGGAGAAGGAAATCAGAAGCCACATAAAGAATTGGTTGTACTTCTGGCTACTGTGCAAACTTGATCTTTGCTCAAGCAAAACCAGCTTCCATTACTGTATCATTATTTGCAGCTGTAAAGAAGTGAACATCGCTGCAGGACATTAAAGTGATAGCCTTCTCAAGGGTTTAAGCTTAAGCAGTTCTGGGGTTGGCTACCCTTAATACTTACTGAAGTGTTTTCCATTTCTTTTGTTCCTCTGTAGGAGGAATTTAATAAATATAATAATTCTTTAAGAATAATATATATAATGAACACAGGTGAAACATCTGATACTGCACTGGAAAAAACTTCCCTCCAACTATTTCAGGATATGGTCTCACCAGAATTGGATCTTTCTGATAGAGCTACATGTCATAGCACACACAGCATAATGCGAAAATGGTAGCTGAGTTCACTGTCTCTACAACTGAGATACGACATGCAAGCACTCCCATGGGAATTATGCTTCCTACCTTCCTTAGATTGAACTCAAAATCTTACAATGTGTTTGAAGGAGCTGAGTTCTCCTTCACATTTATAGAGCACACATCCTTCAGGATTAAGAATCATAAGCATCTGCATTGGTGAAGTTGGATGCTCACTTCCTTGGTATTAAATCAGGAAACATTGAGACCGGAGTTAGATTTCATTTCACAGTCTAGTATAAAAGCTGACATACCTTCAAATACTCTAAAGATATGCAAAGTTTATATTATCCTACTTTGTTACACCTGTGTTTCCAGAATCACAGAGTGGATCTTTTTTCTGTCTTCTCATTACATGCAGCAAAGGAGGTGGGAAGAGTTATTACAATTCTAAGAGAAATGCATCATTCCAGCATCAAAAGCCAATATTACAGGCTGACAGTTTTTGGAAAAGGTCATGGCTTGTAAAACCAATCATTCACATCATTTCTGGAACAATATTGCTCTCTCTTGGAATGAGTCAGGAATTAATAATATAAACTGTTATCCTATTTTTAATTATACTTAAGAGAATTTGCCGTGAGATGTATTTGATTTCAATTCATTTGAATTTCATAGCAAAATGTATTCCCTTATTGGTTTCTTGTACAATTTTCTAATGCAAAATATAAAGGGCTCTTAATATGAACAAGTACGTTAATTTTTTTACTGAAACAATTTTTCCACTTCAAATAAGCCATTTGTAGCTCATTTTCAGCTACGCAAGCATGATTTCCTTTAAAACCAAATAAAGGCACTGTGTAAGAGATTTCTTGATGCAAACAGATCAGTGCACTTATTTCAGCTGAGGATTTCTCTAATTCATGCCAGATTTCTACACCTTGTATCTGAGCTCAGAAGTTCCTTACTCTCTTGAAGACATATCTTATTCTTTCCCTGGGCAGAGGGAGAAATGGTAACTACAAGATTTGCCTCATAATTTTCAGAATGTTTCAATGTGTATTTCATGTGGATTCCCAAGGGAAAAAAAAAAAAATAGTACACACTCCAATATCTTGGCAAAATATTGCTCCATTTCAGCCAAATCTGACAGAGAGCTAAGGGTCTTGAAAGCATTAAACACCAGAAAAGAAGCGTAAATCAGTGTATAGCTGACCATGAAGATGCACATGTACATCCACTGATGAAACCACTTAGAAAGCTTCACTATTCCAGTAACAGGAATCTGCTGACTAGATAGCTGGTTATGAACATTAGGGTACAACTCTTCTACAGACATGAAAAAATAGGGCAAAAAGAAGGAAGTGAAACTATGAAAAGAGATACAGGAAGCTGAGGTGGCACTAAAATTGGAAGCAGGATTTTAACAGCACATTGCAGGTGAGACAGTTCAGAAAAAAAGAGAAAACCATTTTTTTTTAAATGGAATTGGGCCAGTATGAGAGAGGCTGCTATTTCCTGCATTGGTGGCACGCGCAGAATAGATTCAAATAAAAAATTACAAAACTTCATTCATTCAATTTCCTCAGCCTTAATTTGGAGTCACACAGTTGAGACAATGGCAATGAAAATCAGAGTCCCCTCCTCCTTGTCTCAACCAACAATTGGCAATGATACCTCTTGGCCTGCAGTGACAGCACTGCTCTGAACACCTGGGCAACCTAAGAGGATCTCATACAGAGATATACAGACATATACACATGCATATATCAGAAAAAGAATAGTAGCAGATGAATATATAAAAATATATTCCTCTTCTCCTTAAATAATAGTTCATAGCTCCAGTCTCTTCTGTTATTGAAAGAATAACCCTCTCAAAACTAAGAATGTTTAATTATATTTATTTCTTAAAATCTGCACAGTATTGTGTTATATAAGACCATCTACTGACATACAGTAATTTAAAGGAAAGGAAGCAGTAGTAATAGCACTTCACAGTACATCAGATTGTATGATAAGCCAAAATACATATACAGTATTTATAGAAGAATGAATTAACTATACCTTAAAAAGTAATGGCTCTTCGGGAAGAGGGCTAACAGGGAGTGAGGTGGTGCTGCTAGCTGGACTCATGTCTGTACTCTGAAAGAAAACACACAGGAATTCACATTTGCAATCAAGTTTTACAAATCTCTCTCCTTATTTTGGGGAAGAAAGAGCTCAAAAAATTATACTTAAAATTCAACAGAATTAGATTGAGAAAGCAGCTGCCATCTATATGATACTGATCATTAATTAGTAAAAGATTAAGTGTTTCACAATTAGTATTTATATTTTTTTTATTTTTAACAAAATCCTCATTCGAAGACTGAAACACATGCACAAACATGCTACTATATTGCATCTACAAAGAATAATCATAGAATCATAGAACCACAAGTTTGGAAAGGACCAACCAAATCATTTAGTCCAACCATCAATGCAAGATGAAAATTAAAACAAAATCTCACACAGAACAGACAACAATATATGATTTATTTATTTGATGGTCAGATGTTGAAACTAGAAGGCAAAATTAATATGAAAACATACTGCAGAAAAGCATCTGAATTAATGTTTGAAAAAGACCCCTTTGCCATGAGTTGGTATATGTTACAATTAACCACTAGTAGATGAAACTAAAGAGTGAACAGCAAAATTCATAATGAAGTCAGTAAACGTATCCAGAACGACTAACAGACCAACGCAAAAATTCAGTCTTTTTAAGGTTGTTGACATTGTCATCATTTGCATAGATAAGTTATGTAAAAGAGGAGCATGGAGACTCTTTTTAATCTGCAATGGTAATAATGACAGAAGAACAAAATCTTTAAGAAAATGCAAATATGATACAAAATTTTTCTGAAGAATACTAGAATACGCAATAATTTTAGGGAAACAAGTCCATGAGTGCCATGATTTAATAAATTTAGCTTACGCAATTAACTAATAAGGTATCTGTTTTCACATCAATATGATGAGACCCATTTGATAGACACAAGCTCTGAAAGTAAAGAATATTGCTGCACCCAATTAAGTTTCACCAATGTAGGAATACATATAAATGTAGGTACTGCATTTTATTCAGTCAGCTAAGAACAGAAAAAAAAAAACCAAAACCTTGTTACAAGATCCCTATGTCATAACTGATATCAGACAGAATTCAGAATTGATATTTATTGAGGAAATCATTGAGTTTAAATACATACGTATGTTATACCATCTCTGAAAGAAAAGACAATAGCTGCTTCTTGAATAAAGGTAATGTAAGTAAAGGAGGAAAGAGGGTGACATGGTGATTATTCATGAAGGAGACAGAGAGAAACAGGCAGTTTACAACCCAAGCAACACAGAGAGCTAGCTGAGGAATAAGAGAGACTATCAGAAAGTCAATATGTTTACCAAATCCATCACTTTCTTTTCAGTACAGTTACAAATACTAACACTTAGGCTCCTGCCATTGATCATCAAGGAAAATGACTATTTGTTAAACAGAAAGGAAGAAGAGCTCCTTTAGATTAAATTCAAAGTGCAGTCAAAACTGAAGACCTCCTCTTTGAGAATGCTCTGTCTTAAAGATGGACAGTTTGTGTTTTAATTTACACAGAACTGAAAAAAAAAAAAAAAACTAAGCAACTGCTTTCCAAACCAAATCATGCATGCTAATTTTCAATTACAAGTTAATGGGAAGACAGTCCAACACAAACTGTCTCAGTATGAAAATCAGCAATGCAGATTGACCCCTGCACACTGCATGAGCTGCAAATTTTTCAGCAGCAGCTAAAATCTAAGAAAGACCAAACAACCTCAATGCTGAGGTTGCTTTCACAAGACTTCCCAGGGCACGTCTCCACATTGGCCTTAGCAGAACATCAGCTCCTCCTACAAAATGGACATGAGACAGCCCTTGTCTGGACAGCATACTGACATAGCACCATGCCTGGACAGTTCTGTTAAACTGTCACAAGACAGGGAACAACGTTATGGGCATCATGACTGTATACCTTCTGGACTGCTGTGAGTCTTGCCAGACTGGAGCACTGGCACAAGAGACTAGGTCTGACTGCAACTATCCATGCATACATACCCTCAGCAGCCCCTCCAACAACTCCAGCAATTTTTTCTCCAACAAAAGAAAAGAAGCAGAAAAGCTTCTCTGCAGTCTAAATTAAATTCAGTGTCACTAACATAGTTTGTTATAGCAAAGAATTGAGTGAGACAGTATCACACATCAATCATTTTAAGCAACATAGCATGTCCCACTTAAGTCTGCTGGCCACATCTTAATAACATTTTGTAGTCTAAAGTTTCCCATACAGAAGAAAATACGATTGTGAGAAATTCATTCAATGGACACTCTTTATTTGTTAATCTCTAAGCCCATTCTGTTCTCATAAAAGCAGATTGCCTGCCTAAATTTGATAGATTTTAGTTATAAATCAGGAAGATGTTTTAACATTAGGCTATAATGACAACATACAATTTATCACAGATTTTGAATATCATTTGTATCATAATCATACAAACAAGACTAAATAAGGAAAGATATATTTCCTAATTTTGCAGAACTTTACAACAATAACATTCTCTACGCATACTTTTAATGCATTCTTCTTCCATAAGTGGGTTCCATAAGTGCACAGAATTAGTGCACAGAATGTTGCAAAGGTTTAAACATCTAAACTCCATTTTCTACACAAAAGATATCTGAATATCAAGCAATTCAACTATTTCCTCAGTACAACTGTTTAAGAAGTATAGTCTTGTCTATTCAGAAAAAAAAAAAAAGAAAGAAAAAAAAGATAGAGTACGTTTAAGTGCTTCAATTTTTATTTATTTATTTATTTATTATTTTTTTTTAAATTTGGAGCAGGGTGTTAAAAAGCAGCAAATGGATATCAGAATTTCGCCAGTAGCTATTCAACAATTTCAATCATTAATGTTCAATTTTATTTTTTTTCCAATTTCTACAGCTGATCAGCCTAAATATATATCATCTTCTCTGCAAAATGAACAGGTAGAAGAGAGTTGCTTCTGGGCTGTGGAAATCATTTCTACTTGGAGACAGATGTTTTAAAGAAAGTAATTATCAGGAAATTTCTTTAGAATGAGTTGAACAAAAGGAAGAAAATAAATTTCTGAAAACAAACATTTCCCATATATATGTTCTGCTTGGTGACTGAAGACCAGAACCCTCTTGTGGACAGAATCCCACCATTTCAGCTAGATGAAAGAGAAGGAAGGGTCTTTACGGATCTGCTTTAAAGTAGTGGTAAGCTTGATGTTGTTTTGCTCTCTTCTATTTGTGCACACCTATCTCAAAACATAATCCTGTATGTCAACATAAAATGTCTAATGGCAAATTAGAGAACGCAAACAGGTTTTTCAAGCAATACAGCAGATCATGCATATACAAATACACATTGTTAAAGCCATACTCCTTTAAAATCAGTAGTCTTTGAGCCTTCAGCCACTGTTCTTTAAATGAAAACAGATTCACCTCACCTCATAAACTGGGACTTTTCCCACTACAGAGCCCTGTATTTAATCTGATCTTCTCTAGCAAGAGACTTATGTATCAACCTTAGTTAATTGTATCATAAAATTTATGCATATCACTCACAGACAGAAGCCAATTTAATTTGCTACAACTGCTTTTCAACAAGGGTAAACACTGCAATGATAGTTGGCAGACATGAACTTCTCTAGAGATCAGTATCACAACATATTGATCTAAGAAGTTAATCCTGACAGAGAAGAAAACTTTTTGTGGATATTAGAGCTGTAAAGCAAATAAATCTTTATAATAACAAAAGAAAAGACAACCTGTGTACTTTATAGCTTTTGCTAAGGAGTAGTAGATGAATACTGATGTTACTTCTGGGGTGATAGTTTTAGTTGCATCATGAGTTTCGCCACAACTTTATAATCTAGAAGCTGAGTACAACTGAGAACTGAAATAAGTGCAGTCAGCAAGCTCAGCAGTGACATTTTGATACACTGAAGGTAATCAAAGGCCTGTAAATGGATTCATTAATGGATCTGCACAGTATCTTTACAAAATATTGTGCTTAAATATTATCATCCTGTTCTATCAAGAACTGTGATAAAAGAAGGTGAAGCAGTTTGCTTAAAACTAGACAAGGCTGTTAAAAACAAAGACGGGAATCAGGAATTCACAACTCCAAGAGCTCTAATTATTCATCCATGCATTGTTCCCCCCTATGCTTTTGGACTGCTGTGATATCTGTCCATTCCAACTTACTCAACATCATTAAGAGTTTTTACTGTTACATACACTTAATGCAAATAAAATTACTACAAACAAAATCAGTTTTGGTAAGAAAAAACATCAGGCACGTGAAATAAGTTTTCAACTGTCATCCTCCTCCATGTTCAATTAATTTTCCCCCACACTTCCCATCTCACTCAATGACAAAGAATGGAAGCGCTTACTTAAAATGTGGCTAGGTCTACTTCCTATCATATTTGAATACCACGTGGGCAGTTACTTGTAATTGTATTTCACATGTCTTTTGTTAGTAGGTACAGTCAATTATTCTGATTACTACCAATTGCAGTTATCAACTGAGATATTTTACTGTTGTTTTCAGATATTTGGCTGGTACATTGCCTACCACTGTACATAGCTGCTCCCATAGCTCTGAAGGCTGCGTGGATCTTGTGTCTGTCCTGTGTAATCTTAGTTCCCGCAGCAAGGGAGAACCAAAAATGACAGCTGATACCACTTTTTGCAACTTTTATGTACCAGGAAGTGAGGCATAGGTAGACAAGTTCTTAGTGGTTCAACCATCTACTTAACCAGCACTTTGGATACAGGCAGACAGATTAGGCACAATTTGTCTTACCATCTAGGCAAAGCTAATCACTTGAGCTGTGAAATGTCAGTGGGAATAACACCTCATTTAAGATGCTAAATTGTCACTTAACAGAATTTGTATAACTAGTACTGTTTATTTTAGAAGACCTAGAATTCCCAGCAACACTAGGCAAACACATTAAATGTGGTATTCTGCACGTTAATTAAATAGTTTAGACTCAGATTAAATTTTCACATTGTTTAATTTACATTTAATTTACAC